GGTATTCTATCAAGACAATAATTACAGTTATGTTGTGTACTTATTATGTGGTGTCTTTTGCTTTGTTTTTATGTGATTTATGTAAGGCAAAATTTATTGTAAGTTAAGTTAGTTATTCTTTAATGGGAAATTATCAGTAAGTTTGTTGCATTGTGCAATTTTGGTCAAATTATTGTAAATTTGTTATCAGTGCTTTTAATTTACATTTTGGTGTGTTAGTAAAGGAATGCGTCTATTTAAAGGAATAAGGCTTGGGTAAACGTAGTAATCTGACTTGATAAGCTTCAGAGCATCATTGTCAAATTACTGGCCGATCAGGTTTGACGTCAGTAGGGGAAATTCTTGAATTAATTATAGCAGATAGCATCCGATCGCATTTAGAGTGAAAGCAAATTAATTCTATGACTCTCTGGCTGGGTTTACAAAGGAAAGCTTGTCTAACAAATCTGCTGACGTTTTAGGGAAAGTCTTCGATAGTAGGGATAATGAAGAAAATACGATGTTATTTATTTAGACTTTTAGCAAAGCATTTGACAGGGTAATTTACCTGAGTTTTAGAGAAAAATTATGGTCATGGTATCGCGGGAAAGTTATAAATTGATAAAATCGTTGGCTCACTGACAGAACGCAGAGGGTCAGCGGTAGATGGTAAATCTGGAGGCCGTGTAACCAGTGGGGTTCTAGGGTCAGTACTAGGCCCACTCTTGTTCATAATTCATAAAGACTAGATATCGGACCGAAGAGTGACATAAGCAAGTTTGTGGATGACACTAAAATAGGGCCAGATTAGTCAAGGATGCAATGCATTACAGGAGGACGAAATAAATCATGGGGTAGTCTGAAATGGCAAATGAAATTCAGCAGTAGCAAGTGCAGCGCATTTAATATTGAAGAACAAATACTGTCATGTATAAGCCTTAACAACATCAACCGAGAAGTTGGACTTGTGAAAGAGACCTAGGGTACTTAGAAGCCTGGACCTTTAGGAAAACAGTGTTAATGTTCGAAATAAGGCAAACAGAGTATTGGGTTTTATATTCAGAAGTGTGTAATAAGAGTGCAGAGGTCTTATTGCAACTATATCTGCGGCGTTAGTCAGCTGCAATTCTCGAGTGGCGGTTCAGTTTTGGTGCCCCAATTATAGAATGGATATCAATTCACTAGAGTCGTGCAGGGAAGATGACAAAATGATTAGGGGACTTAGAAACTTACAGGATAGGTTAAAGAAACTACTTGCATTTTGGGAGTACGAAGGGTGGGTAGATATGAGGAATGTAATGGGTGAAAGGAATAATAAAGGGGAGTTAGATGTTTTATAATATCCATATAGACTGAGAAATACTTTGTTGGATGTTTTAGGTTTAGGGGAGATAGGAAGGAACTGGTTCACAAATAGGTGGTGATGAGTGAAATGCTTAGTAACTGTGGCAAGTGCTGAACGCTGGAAAGTTTCAAAAGGAGGCTGGATGGATTCATGGATGAGAGAGATGGTAGAAACCTGGACAGGAGCCAAGTGCACAGGCCAACCGGCCCATTACAGACCCCTTATTTTCTTATATTCACACTATGTACCTCTTAGATTAGTTGCCGAGCCTGAAGTGAGGAGCCTAACTCAATTAACTCCGCCACATCAAGAACATCCGCGGTGTGGCACTATGCTGTGGTAGCCCCATGGTCGGTTTGCAAGAAGCACTACAAAAAAAAAAATTCACATCTATTATTGAACGTGGGAGATTTCCGTGGTACTCTGCACCTGTCTACGACCACCACGATGGAACTATATATTTCTGGAAAAAAAAAAAAAAAAAACCCCATGCGCTCTTCTCCCCAGTCCCAGACCTCCATAAATATCGCGGTGCGAATGTGTGGAAATAACTTACCGCCACCCATCCGATAAAGAGACTACGCTCCTTCATTTGAATCATCTCTTTAAAAAATATCATTGTCTAAGAATTAATATGTTCTTTACTATATTGAAATTTCTTTTTATTACCAAACGTTTTATGAAATTATCAAATAAATTACTCATTAAAGATATATTCCAACTAGACATAATCTGACAGCCCCTGTCCTCTTGTTCAACCTTATTGCTGTATGTAACCCAGGTTGTACTGTTCTATATTTATGGTTTTCATTGTCTGTAATTTGTGTATATATAAATAGAATAAATAAATAACTAAAAAATAATACATAAACAAGATTATTAAATGTTGAGTAACTGTAACATTATGAGATGTTCTATTACCACCATGCTGTTGTATTCGATGATGCTAAATGTTACATAATACTTTTGAGATAAATGTATATATATCAGGTCCAAAGAGGGTGTCTCAGCTGGCCAGCTAATATTGTTGTTATCACCTGTTCTGTGTTTTATGACTAAATAAACATTTGAACATTTTAATTTAATAAATTGGCCGTCTCGACCAGTACTGAGAAGAAGCGAGGTAGGAAAGACGCGGTTTTGTTGGCTGGCTGAGCGGGTATAACACTAGACACTGTAAAAACGAGTACCGTAGAGGTGAAAGGGAATTCAATCTAATATACTTCTAGGATGTCTGAGATCACATACAAGTTTCATGTACTATCTAGTTTATAGTTTTAGTTAGTTTCGTCATATTACTGAACAACGACCTGAGTCACTGTTCTAGGTATATGACGAAGCGGTGTGACATTGACTGTACTACCATCATGTGGTGTTGCTTTTTGCCGGGTATTTATATATAACTTTACAACTGCTTATCCATCTTATTCTCTCAATCACATTTTCACGAGTCACTTGTAAATTACTTTGAAATTATTATTCGGTCAAATTATAGACAGGTGCCTACAGGTGTGTGTGTGTGTGGAGACAGGTAGAGTACTACATGAACAACAGGTAAGAGCTGATGTCTATTGCTGACGTTTCAACTCGACAGGTTTGTTCTTGAGAAAGAATATGTATGGGTGTTACTCACCTGGCAGACACTCCAACGTGGCGAGAGAACTTGCAATGTTTGGTAAGGCGGAAAACACTCTTCTTACATCTGCCCAATGGGATCAAACCCAGTGATGAAAGGTATATATTTACCACTAACACCACGCCTTTACTTCATCAGTGACTTACTTATTCCCTTCTTAAGAGTATAGATACCATTACGATGATTTTGTAGACGTATTCTTATATCAAAGTCTATTTAAGTGGGTGGTCATTACGTAAAGAAAGTAAATTAGTATCATCACGCAGAACGTTCACAGTTAAGACGAGTTGGCAACTTAAAGAATGAGATTCGTTTTGGAGGTTCAGCGATTCTTTGTACTCGCAGTGTGTTCTGTTCTCCACTCGGTATCAAAACGTGTGTGTGTGAGTGCGACTTAGGGGAAGCTTTTTCACACGGTAAACCAACTCTCGTCGAATAGAAAGGTAACAATATACAGTATGTTAGTTTACTATTTCAGGTGAGTTCCCCGCTCAGTGTATGAACGAGTGTCTTTGCTGGGACAGTATATATCGATATATATACTGTACAGTAGTTCTGGTACAGCAGTAACAATAAATTTGTTGTACAATTTTACTCTGCAATCATAGAACACCTAAGATACCCTTAGGACGACAGGAAGAATTTAGCTTAAAACTGCCTTCACTGTTCTCACATACATGACGCAACATTATTCTCTCTAACGTAAATTTCTCTTTGTATAAGTGTGTGTGTGTGTAATCATAATGTAGTGCACACCAGTGGACGGCAACGCGACCGCTTCCCAACATGACGTAACAAATTGAACGCATATAGACGCCCACGAGTTTCATTTATTTTCTTACTGAATAGTTGATTGCAGTTGTGGAATTATAAACGTGTGAAGCCATGCCCAGTAATTGTGCAGTATATAGTTGCTACTCAAAGGGAATATTACTTTTCACAAGTTCACAAGAATGAAGAGGTGAAAAGGGGATGGGTTTACCTCTGCAGTAGTCAAGATTCCATTAATGTTAACAGAGCAATAATATGTAGCGTGCATTTTGAACGTAGTGAGTTTGAGATATTATATATGAGCTACTCGGTCAATCAATACTGAAACGTCTACTAAGAATTAAGGAAGGATCATTCTCAACACTGCAGTTACCTACACACACCAGGTAAGACAATCAAGATGTGGTATAACCATACAGTTTGGAACTATTATTAATTTTAACTCATGTAAAAAAAATATTACACTGTTGAGTATAATAGCGTAAGATTTCTTGTTTGTTTTTTAATCCGATTGCATAACCTATTTAAATGTTTATGGTCATTATTCAATGCTCAAGTAGTGTGGAAACCAATATACCTGAATGTGGGCTTCGGGCGCCTGACCGCTCTCTTCTCACTGGACGTGGACCCACTAACGGGAGGTTCGGTCGGCCAAGGTCAATGTAGAACTGGTAGAGCTCAACCTACAGTGAATTATTACATGGACTCTTGGATGCAATTGGTCTCCTCCTCTAAGCCTTTATGCCTCCTTGTAATTCAACAGTTGTTAGGTCTATTATCTTTAGTCCATTATAATTCTCCTGTCATACATTTTTTGTGGGTTCTATCTCGTGTTGGAATAACAAACAATGACACTGTTGACCGTCTAGCGAAGAATGCCTGTGGACTGGCCCTCCCTGGTGATGGGGCTATGCCCTCCCTCCTCTGTTACCTCCTCTGCCTACAATCCATCGCAAGGATAGTGAACGGGCTGAGAGTATATCCATCCAACATTATGATCCTTTTCTCCCTTATCCATACAAGTATCGTCGACGTGGACTTAAGGTCCGCAGACATAATGTTGTCTCTGCTCGTATTATGTTAGGATACAAACTTATCTGGCAAGTATCTGAGGCGGGGGATGACCACCACTTCTCTTCCTGTAACTGTCCCAATACACTATTGCCTTGACTGCCCCCACTCCTAACACAGGACGAGTCACTAACCACGAAATGTCACCTCCTATTTATACATAATAATTCCTGTAGGCTACCCACACTTTGGTGGGTGCTATTGTCCTCAACTCACAACAATGTCTCCATATCATAAGTCATAGCGTGTCCTGCGAGTTACAGTACCACTGTATTAGTGTCTGACTGCATGGTCTTGTGACTAAGTTTGTTGCCCCCTGGGGAGTAATAAATTAATTAGATAATGATAATCAGGCTCGAGATGTCTATTTCCGCCCTCATGCTCCTGAACAGATCTTCCAGTGGGTGATATTCTGTAAAGGTGTTGTTGGGGCTGGCTACTACAAGGTTGGTGCAGTTGATGTCTATCCACTAGGCAACCTGGACTATTTTACAGGACTAACCGAGTGCATCGTATTTGCTTGAGAGCGGTAATATATGCGGCACGGGTGACCGATTAAACAACACACCTGCTCACTGCAAAACAAACAAAACATTGATTTAATAATATCAAAATGACATACCCAAAAATATACAGATTTTTATATATTACACCCTGATTATTTTTTTAGTTATGGCTGCCAACAATGGTACTCTGTTATCCACTACATAGGAAACACGGTGTCAGCTTAGGATGCATCAAGAACATTTTAGTAAAATACGTAGTTTCGCAAGAGCTGTGTGAACTGTAATAATTAATGTTTGTTTCTCTTTGAAGGTGGAAAGACACTGTAGCTGAGCTGGCCTATCGCATCTCAGAGACTGCAAACTGTCTTTATGTTTTTGTTAAGAGACTTCATCGGTGAGGCTTGCTGTCGTTCTGTGTTAACAACTCAGAGAATTAATGTCCATACCCAAGAAACGCCATTACAATGGGCATCAGGACACCATGGTCGAGGCTTCTCACCGCACCTCTCCTGACATCATGGACGTCACCTACGACGAAGTCTCATATGATAGTTATTTAAGTGGGGTTCTAAATGATTTCGGCATCCAGTTCAGCCCTGGACGCTCAAGCATTGTGGAAATCCCCGAGGATGACTTTGAGCCACTGTCTAAAGATGAGAACGTATCTTCACCTGGAGGAGCACCGTCGCCTTCGGATCTTGACCCCAGTGACCTGAACAGAGAGCAATTCTCTTCTGGCTCAGGTATGGACCAGACACTGTTAACTGTACTGTTTGTTTGTCTGTCACAACATATAATGGTTCAGGCTGAAGAAGCCATCTATGATGACTTTTATTGAATTTAAACTCGCTTTCAGTGTCCCATCCCAGACAAGGTTGAGCAACTGTGGTAATTGTCTGGAATCCCAACCTTTTCCTAAATACAAAGTTAAATGTTACTTTTTTATATAATTTATTTGTTGAGAAACCAAATTGTCTATTAACTTGGGCTTAAAATGGGTAATTAGTGGACAGTAGACAGTAGCTGTGCAGGGAAGTACCGGAGGACCAGGTTACCACTTTTCCCCTTCATGTCATGATGACTGACTTTTGTTTTCTACCTCACACACACACACGCACACGCACGCACACACACACACACACACACACACACACGCACACACACACACACACACACACACACACACACACACACACACACACACACACACACACACACCTGTCGTCCTCAACCTATAAACATATTAACTCCAAATTTCCTTTTCCCTAGCGTGTCACTTCAATTTCCCCGTCACATTTTTTTTAATTCTCTAAATCTCTTCAGTGGTGGTGGTGGTGGTGATGGTCTCTGCTATTGTGCAAAATCTGTAATTTCTTTCAAAATGATCTCTAACTTCTCTCCTCACAATGACTTCTCTTACGAATTTTTGCCTTCCACTTCTTCCAAATACTTCTGGTGAGTCTATAGTTTTACCCGTGTACCTGATGCTCTCACGGACAACATACACAGCATTTTAAGACTGATCCTATAGCAGCCAGACAGACAATGCTGGATAAATAGGGTAGCCACATTACCAGGTATGGGGTGAAGAAAGACAGAGGTCAACTAGTGTCATATAAGAGCTCCCTCAAACGCAGTCAATTACAACACAACCACAGAGTAATGCGTCACGTCTACTGGTCATCATCTCCTCTCCACCTACGCACACATCTTGCCACTGTGCGTCAACACCCTCGTCACATATTAATTTGGTTCTCCTGACGACTCCCTTTTACAGAATCGTATTTTATGTCACTCCTATTTTTATTTTTTTTACCAACACTTCTCTACGTCCATTTCTTTCTCTCATTATGACCCACATCACTTCAGCAGAGTAGGAGAAGATTGAACTCAGAGAAGAGAGTACAAGTAGAGGAATGTTGCAGCTCAGTGTTTTGATAACTTGGCATTTCCGTCCATAACAGATATTTGACGACCAGACAGGAATTCACACCTTGTACAGATGTTGTCATGATATTCACATAGGTCATTTAGAGACGAGTCTGTTATTTAAAGATCATATTATATTATTAAGGTCGTGTCTCACTTGAGGAGGAGGAGGAAGAGTAGGGAAAGGGAGTGAAGGGGGAGTAAGTATGGCGATGAGTGTGTGGAGTGTGGAGTGTGTAGTAATACTTAAAGTGGGTCTAAGAATAATAGACATTGTTTGTGGTGGTTGGATGAGGTGGTTTATGGTAGTTGGATGAGGTGGTTTATGGTGGTTGGATGAGGTGGTTTATGGTGGTTGGATGAGGTGGTTTATGGTGGTTGGATGAAGTGGTTTATGGTGGTTGGATGAGGTGGTTTATGGTGGTTGGATGAGGTGGTTTATGGTGGTTGGATGAGGTGGTTATGGTGGTTGGATGAGGTGTTTTATGGTGGTGGATGAGGTGGTTTATGGTGGTTGGATGAGGTGGTTTATCGTGGTTGGATGAGTGGTTTATGGTGGTTTGGATGAGGTGGTTTTATGGTGGTTGGATGGGTGGTTTATGGTGGTTGGATGAGGTGGTTTGTTGGTTGGATGAGGGTGGTTTGTGGTGGTTGGATGAGGTGGTTTATGGTAGTTGGATGAGGTGGTTTATGGTGGTTGGATGAAGTGGTTTATGGTAGTTGGATGAGGTGGTTTATGGTGGTTGGATGAAGTGGTTTATGGTGGTTGGATGAGGTGGTTTATGGTGGTTGGATGAGGTGGTTTATGGTGGTTGGATGAGGTGGTTTATGGTGGTTGGATGAGGTGTTTTATGGTGGTGGATGAGGTGGTTTATGAAGTAATTTACAGTGGTGGATGAGGTGGGTTAGGTGGTGGATGAGATGGTTTGTGAATGTGTATGAGATAGTTTTATATACCGTATATTTTATCATAAACTAGAACATTATAAGGTTAATTAACTTCGCTCTCTAGCTATCGGTAAGCCAGGGGTCACGGTGTTAGATTTGTTTTCGTATTTTAACTCAAAATCCAATTTATTCCCACGAATATTATTTTTATTCAGCGTTACAAAACATTAGACGTCTACTATAATAAACTAGATTTTTCGGGTTTTTCTCCGATAGAACGAACACATGACAAAGACGTCGATATTTATTGTATATCAAAGATGTCAAATTCGCACTTTCTCCACCCAGTGTGTGTGTTACTGACAGGTTTAGGATGTGAGACTTGTGAGTGGTTGAATTCCTCGTGATGGTAAGAGACAGGGCCAGTTCCTGTATACAACACGATAATGCTCTGGTCAGCAACTAGCAACACTTACCCGAATGTGTCCATGTAAACGTTCTATTGTGTTCTAAGAGACTTTATTTTACCCATGATATACTGAAGGTGATTAACTGTCTTGTGTCTCCTGGTTGTGTGCTGATGGAGAGGTCACGTTGGTAGATTGCATACCATTTGGACGAACGTCTATTTATGCGATATAACCTAACCTAACCTGATCATTTAACTAAGATGGTAAAACTCGCATAAAACAAACGATCGTTCAAGTGGGATGACACCTGTTAGTCGACCATCTCACCTAACACTTTCATATTCAGTTGTCCAGTCCTAACCTGAAGCCTGTACTTTCACCCCATTGATGTTGCTCAGCAGAAATACCACTATAGAATGTTCCGTGTAGAGCAGTGACATTCTATACAGGTTTCTTTCTGGTCATTCTTAACACGACTTGACTACATTTTCAAGTTGGTCATTAGATTTCTGGGATTTTTCTTATTGTTTTTTGTCTTTTCAATAGTTGATGATATTTTACAACAGTTATATCGTCACTGGATACTTATTACTATCTTCAGTGTGGAGTAATTTAATTATTGTGTTTTGTTTTTGGTTTTACACTAGAAATTAGTGTCAGGAGTTGCGTATCCTTCACATTAGTCATCGTAGTATCGTACCTTGAAGTATTTTACATTTGAAGATAAATTCGAATACAATACTTAGTTAGAATAGAGTTTTGATGTAATATTTGTGCCCTTGTTTTAAATCAGTCAAGTTATTTTACGTCTGTACCTCTCCAGTTACAAAGGTAAAAATATCTTTTCTTTTAGAGTAGAGCTGAAACAGTCTATTTAGATAGAAATGTACAGTTACAAATTTCATGACAACAACAATAGCAATGTGAATGCGCACTTTGAGGGCTTCACAACCTCGTGAACATAGTCACACAAGAAAATTATTATCTTCTGCATTTTGTTCCGTTTATCTGTTGCGGAAAAGCATCACACACTAAAATATCCGACTTGTTCGTCCCTGCAGGCGCGACGTTCTTACCCCTTGAGTACAATGGACAGTTTGAAGAGAGTCAGGCGCCATCCCAGAGCTCTGTCTCTTCTGCTGGTAAAAAACTTCGCCAGAAGAAGCCTAAAGTGTATGACAGCCTCCCCTTCGAGGATGAAGAAATGGAAAGAAAAAGACTAAATGCCATCACTGCAAAGAAAAACCGCGACACGAAGAAAATGTAAGGAATGTGTACAGTATTATGAAGTGATAGGAAGGTTGTGGTAACAGTGAGGCAAGAGGTCCGTCTACTGTCATCATGAATACATGCTATAATTTGGGACCCGTCTGTCATTTGCAGGATGATTCATCATATCCTTTCATAACAACATTAATCAACTGACCAACTATCAACATGTGTTACAGAAACTGAGACGATTCTTTAATAACTTCAGTTGTTCATTCGGTCACTGCCATAATAATTTTTTCTCTGGCAACTTTACTCTTTGTTCTTCTGTTTATGTTAAGAAACTTTATAATTTGTATTTCTTTTCTCAGGTACATGCGGACTCTGGAGCAAACACTTAAGTCCATGAAGACGATCAACAAGCAATGTCATAAAGCCTTGAAAAAAACCGGCACTGATGTGGGAATGCTGCACCAAAAGATAAGACACCTGGAAGAGACTCTAGAAAGGAGCACCTCCCAGATCAGGGAAAATAATATGGAGATTAGGAGGAAGAGGGAGAGGATGAACTTGTTGATGGCTCACCTGGATATCATCATTAGTGGCTTCGATGATCATAATCCTGCCAAGCGCATCATTACCACACTCCTCAAGACATTCCAGACAGAAGACTCCTCTGATGAATTCCAAAAAGAGGACTCCTCTTATACCTCGTCGAGGGAAAACTCCTGGTACACCTGATACAGTACCTGCTAATGTCTACCTTTTCCCAGTCTGCCTTACAAACGAGAGTAGTGAAGAACGGTACTGTTTATTTACTATATTTGGGAAAACTCCACAGCAAACACTGACATAGCTGAATCATATTGTATCATCTGGATCAAAATACAATTCCCGTGAGGTGATAGACTTACGTTCCTAGTGTTTGGTTCACTGCAGTCACGCGTCCAGCTTTGATTGTCAGTCGCGTATTTGACCTGGGAGAGAATCCTATACGTCGGTCATTGATCTGTAAACTCTCAGTGATCTGTAAACAATGAGTGATGTGTAAACAATCAGTGATCTTGAATATTTGGATAAAGACCTCACGGGTGAATGGCATGGAGTCCTAGTAGAAATTGTGATACTTGTAATTATCACCTCAAGGATAAATCAAAGAGAAAATAATCATAAAATTATTATGTTTTATTAAGTGAATAACTGATAGTTGATTAAGAAAAATGTGTGTACGGATATATAAATGTTAACAAAAATATAGCATGAGGAATCAGTATTTCTCATCTAATGGCAAACCCAGTACTAACAGCCGATCCTTCCACCACCACCAGTACTACAGCCGAGTCTTTCACCACCAACAGTACTACAGCTAGTCTTTCACCACCATCAGTACTACAGCCGATCCTTCCACCACCACCAGTACTACAGCCGAGTCTTTCACCACCAACAGTACTACAGCTAGTCTTTCACCACCATCAGTACTACAGCCGATCCTTCCACCACCACCAGTACTACAGCCGAGTCTTTCACCACCGCCAGTGCTACAGCCGAGTCTTTCACCACCGCCAGTGCTACAGCCGAGTCTTTCACCACCACCAGTACTACAGCCGAGTCTTTCACCACCACCAGTGCTACAGCCGAGTCTTTCACCACCACCAGTACTACAGCCGAGTCTTTCACCACCACCAGTTCTACAGCCGATCCTTCCACCACCAGTACTACAGCCGAGTCTTTCACCACCACCAGTGCTACAGCCGAGTTTTCCACCACCACAAATACTACAGCCGAGTCTTTCACCACCACCTGTACTACAGCCGGGTCCTATTCATGCTCTCTCCCAAAAACCATAAAAAGCTTATATTAGGTTCCAGAGGTGTTGCTCACAGTGCCATTATGTCTGTCCGGCCCCCACCTCTCTCTCTCTCTCTCTCTCTCTCTCTCTAACTAACAATTTTCTAAATTGAAAATTTTAAAATTCGAAGATATTCACACTTACTACTGTGCCTTATTTGTTCACAAATCTGTCAATCACTGAAGGCACCCAGAGCTATTAAGACCACGCCCCATGAACTCCTCAGTCCCAGACCTCCATAAAATATCATGGTGGGAAGAAGTGGAACAACTTACCCCCACCCATCCGAGCAAACACTACGCTCCCTTCCTTTAAATCATCTCTTAATAAATATTGTGTAAGTATTAATGTTTTTGCAATAACTAATTTATATACCTACTTTTCTTGTGTCACCAAAACCATTATATCCTAAATTGTCATGTAGATAGATAGAAATTACCTGGGCAATAAATATACTGTATAGTTACCGTCAATACATGATACTGACAGCTCTGCCCTCTTGTTTCACCGTAATACAGCCCATGTTGTACTGCTTACCTCCCTTATCATATTAATGTATATCAATTCCACTGTAAACTATGTATATAATTATAAATGTTAAACAAAATAAATAAAATAAATAAATAACGAAATGATAACCGTGGTAACATTCTGATATGTTCTTATTACCACCATGTTATGTGTACTATTCCAGTTGTTACTAAATGTTACGTAATACTTCCTTGAGATAAATGTACAGTATATATCAGGTACCTACAAGAGAGTTCAGATTCTCAGTTGACTCAACCATGTTAATATTACTATTTTTTTTATCGACTCCGTATCTGTGTGTCTCTGGATAAATAAACTGTTACAATGCAATATCACGAGTTACGACAGTCCCCAGATTACGGTTTTAGATATAAGATTGACGATGATGATGAGTATGATGGTAATAATAATGATGAGAATGATGTTGATAATGATGATAAGTATGATGGTAATGATGATAATGATGATCAAACCTCCCAAGTGAAGGCTCATGAGAGACTATCTGCTGCTTTTGCCATCCCAGAAATTAACACAATCTGAGCCATCTTAACGGGAATAGTGTGTTCCAATCGTTTATTTAAGTACTCGTGTTTGCTTTTGGAGCCTAAATTGATATTGTTTATATCCCTAGGAGCCTTAGTTGATATTGTTTATGACCTAATTTGTACAGTCCTTTTTTACATAAATGATAAACCTGTTTTTAAATGTGTAATGTATTTTATTGAAATATTTTCCCCATAAATCTTGACATAAAGAAAAGTTGTATTTCTACATAAGATTTCCTTCTCTTCAGCCATTTAAGGCATCTTTTGTGAGATTTTCACTATTAATTTATGTTTTGTAAATCCGCCGAGTTACTTTTCTTTATTTTTTTTTAACTGAAACTAGAGTGAAGTAAATTGATGTGCTTTATTTAGTGCGTTGATCTATGTTGGTAATTGATTATAAGTACAGTCACCCGTAAAAGTCCCGATGCATTACTCTGCCCATAAATGCTTCGGGTTCACGAGTCTAAAACGTTGAAAAAGAAAGCCCAGATTTGGATACAAATATTATTATGGACAAAGGCAATTTCTCGTGTCGTGTGCCTCAGCTTAGCCATAACACACTCGGGCGACACAAATAAGACGATCCCTATTGAGTTAATCTTAGAATATCGTTCAGTAATAAGTACACTGTGTTGGATTAAAGACACCATACATTATGGTATCACTCAATCTGAAAAGAAAAAAATCTATATAACAATGTAGGGAGTATAAGTATTGTTTCGTGTGTTAGTTAGCAGTTTAGTGGATTACGTTTGGTGTGTGGTCCAGTGGAACTTGGAGGCGGGTCTAGAATGTTCGGATGTATACGAAATAATATGTAAAGTTTATTTTGTGGATATATTACACGCATGCATTAGTTTATTTAATTTTAAAGCTGAAAGACTTGTCGATTAATATTTACTTTACTAGTGAGATGCGTTCGTTTACACATCCATTTTTGCCCCACGTCATGTTCTGCCTCGTGTCACCTAAACGACTGGAGTTGATCTGTTTTGTGTGACCCGTTAGGACATCAGCTTCGGGCTGGCTGCTGCTGGAAAGTTAAGTACTGCACACTCTGTCTCTCTCTCTCTCTCGCTTTATTGTTTGTCATTTGGGAGTGTATTTGTGTTACTTGCTTAAGAACATTGCTAGATTTAACGTTAACTTACTACCATTTCCAATATTCTTGTGTGTGTGTGATATTTACCGTATCTAGTATGTAGGTTTAATGTCGTTTATTCTACTAGCACTAATAGCACATCAAGTTTTAAATATCCTAGAAATTATCTTGACCTGCAGGTGAATAGTGAAAGAATAATAGGAATGAACTGATAGTAATTACTAGTTATGACCAACACCTATACTTGGGTCACAATAACCTAGGAATAGAATCTTTTTCTTCAATACCAACAAGCTTTGGTCGCCTGATACTGCACATCACTCAGTGTTTGTTAGTTACGAACTTTTCACTCTTTGTACGATATATAAACTAAATATTGTGAAAATGTATTCAGTGTACAGGGGGAAGTTTGAACCCCTGGGGGAGAATAAAGTCAGGAGTTGGAAATGTAATCGTATAAGTCTTTTGGGTTTTTTGACACAAGATGATCTAACACTGAACAAGTTTGTGATTTTTTTTTTCACGATAAGTTTGGACGTATTTTGAAGAACTTTGACGTTTTGTAGTGTTTTTTGTGCACATGATCAAGTTTTTTTTTTTTTTTTACTTTTAGGTGAATTTAGATTTCGAATAAAAGGTTTTTTTGTGTGTGTAGAAATAAATAGAAGCCCATGCGCAGAGCCTCATCACCGGTTAATATTATGATCTTTCTACTATATAGTTCTATTAAAGTTTCTAAACAAATCCTGAGGTAAATTGTTCGAGCGAATGAGTCAAATTAACAACACATATCTCACACTATATTCAAATCACATCTTATTCGAATCTTTTAAATTTATCCTCGAGAAAGACAGTTCCCTCTCCCTAGAAGGACTGTGAGTCGTGTAACAGGTATTAGTTAAGGTGAGTAAACCATAACTCACCACGGCGTCACACATCGTCTGTCTCCGGACAATTTGCGCCAGTTTATGTCCGATTCCGGCCTCAGTGTGAGCGGGCTCTTATCTAGGTAGTAGACAGATATTGGAAGCTTAATGTGTTGTCTAATGGGGTAGACCCTGCTGCCATATGGCATCACGAAAATTGTGACCAAGTCCCAGGTTGCTGATCTGACTTTCTGCCTCATTTACACACAATTGCAGGGTCTCAATTGTTTCTCTTACTATTGACAACACAACATACTGTACATATACTGTAATGTTTTTCACTATTTATTTTTTTATCTATGGTTCTTTATTATTATTATTACAGTGTTATTATTATTATCATTAATATTTTATTATTTACTATGAATTATTATTATTATTATTATTATTAATATTATTATTATTATTATTATTATATTTTTGCCCCCCCAGGCCCTGATGTGGGTCAGTGACCTGTTCCCGGGTGGGCTAATCCCCGTAAAAAAAAAATACAAGGCACAGGGACCTAAAATGTTTACCGTGGTAGCAAACTGTCTACAAAAATTTGGATATTAGTCCTCCAGCTTATTTCGTCCCATGATTAAACCTTTTCTGAGCGGGGAAGATTAGGTTAGGTTAGGTTAGGTTAGGTTAGCAAGAGGGTGGTTTAACAAAAGTTGAAATAAGCTGTGGGCTAATCTTCAGGTGATCCGATTTTTAGATTATTTGTTCACTGTAGCCTCCGTGGTAACCGACAGGTCGTGGCTTGACAATGAGTCTGTTGACACTTGGTAGGGCCCAAACTGTTGCTGCTGAGGCTCTCGAGTCTAGACAAAGAGTTACCGCAGGTCATGGACCCCAGTACGTATCGTCAGCCCTGGCCACGGGAGCGGTCACCTCAAAGGCTGCCCTGATTTCAGTGGTTGGGTTTTCCTAGCTGGGGTCTGTGTACCATCAGGGATAAACTTTAGAGTCGTGGAGTTCATCTTCACAGTGAGCTCCTGCAGTTTTATTTGTTAACTGTCTTGAGAGTTCTATCTCCCATAACTTTTAATTGTTGATGAACTAGTGTTATTACTAACCTCGTTACCTAAGGTGTTGAAGAGCAGTGATAACATCAATAACAACTGCCTCCATCCTTTAACAGTTCAGTGGTTCCTAACTTTTTTCACATGACCCCCCCCCCCTTTTTGCATTTTACCAAACCTATCTATTTTTTTTAATAATTTAATCAACTTTTAATCAATGTAATACCTTGTCCTCGTATATATATCACATTTCAAAATCAACTTATTTTTAATTATTTCATACATGAATCTCGTGCATATGATGAAGGTTGAAATATACTTAGAAATCTGATTTTATACAATTTTATTGATAATTTCTGAATAGAGAAAAATAACATGGCATTAGTACTAGACGAGTTAGCTGCGAAGAAACTTGTAGGTAATTAGTTCTCATGGAAGAAAATATAAACACAAAAGGAAGACAAACTTATAACATCTTAACTTACAAAGCAAATCATTTCTACCAGCACTGATCCGGCGGATACAATGTGTCATGTGAAACTGTGACCTTTCCTCATAAGCCACTATGTGTGGGCTGAGCTGCACCAAGTATATTAACCTAAGAGGACCAACTCCTCTTTCACCCCCTCACAGTAAAGTTCAGAGAGGTCATAAAAACTCTTCGTCGACATCGTGTACGTTTTGTGTCGTTACAGGAACCTTCTAAGTAAGGTTAAACTCTCCTATTATTTGTTAAGTGTACACACACACACACACATACACCCCCAGTGTTTTCACTTCGTCAATCTTACCTTTTTTCACTGTCACTATGTTGAAATGCCCTGTAGTATGACTTTCTCCCTACCTAGTTATTATATATCATATTTGTATCACTTCTGTTACTTGTATATTATATGTCTGGTGTTCCAAGAGACAACAGTACTGCATAAATTGTCCCAACACAAATTCTCGGACAGGATTGTGAGTTGGTGTTCACCAGTGCGAGTAGAGGGCTGGTCGTCACAGCACCGCCACCCGCCTAAGACAGTCCATTCAGCGGAACCAGGACTTGTCTGTAAACACTTCTACATCTGGCGAGGTCACAGGTCGAAAGATTTAATGGCAGCACATGCCACCACTGTAGCTCGACGCCCCCCTTGAAGCCGACACTACCGACCTACACGCCATCACACTCACACTAAAGGTATGTCCCTCAATATTGTCAATGCCTATGGCTATGGCCTGGCACTTGACATTATTAGGGACCTGCCACACTTTGTCATAAACAGATAAATTGTACCGGGAATTTTCCCCCCACACACTCATCATTCTTTCACTTTATGTAACTTGCGTACAAAACCCATGACCCTTCAGACGTTTACGCCCTTAATGCACGAGTCATAAAGGCAAGCATGAACTCTGCATGCTTCCCAGATGGGCGTTGTAAACGCTTCTGCGCTTCGCCTTGCACGGGATGTAAGGGGGTGCCCAAAAAACTAGCCCCCTCGGGGGCAATCTAATCTGAAGCCAGCTCCGATAACACTGACTAAAGCCTTTTAAATATAACATTAGAGATCTAAGAGATGATTTACATCCTACTTAACCTAACCGAGCATGAACACAATATATTTAAAAAGTAATCAACAAATTGTACTAAATCGTGTACATTACCTCACTCGTCATCTGCTCCTCTCCCCAGCATCAAAACATGTCTAAAATACTCTTATCTACCCACAGTGGGAAGCCTCAAGGCACCACCACCAACACTTTACCTCTATATCTGGCTGGCTGCTACCTTAAAGGGAGTTTTACCTACAACGATTTACTTAAACACACGAAGGAAATGTTTGCAAACTTGAAGCTGCTAATAAGTTTAAACAATAAGCGTTAATTCCGTCTCATCTTCGCAGCTTCGGTAGTAAACTTGAGAATATTTGTTTTCAGGATCTGGGCAAACGAGAAAATAGGCCAAAGCTAATGTGCCACCAAACCATGATTCCACCTCAGTTTCAAACCTATGAGAATATTATCCTAAGAGAAAGGTATAGAGAATTACATCCTTGCCTTAATTCCTTCCATGATATTTTGTATAGGTGTGAGACGGAGGTGGTATCTTGCATCATGGGTTGGTCACCACAATAGATCTAGTCTGAAGCATCACTCACAGTATTAGACAATTGGAGGGTTGCTGACGAGTCTCAACCTTGCTGATCACTCAACCACACACCACTGTCACCTTATCTGTCAGGTGAAGCGTTGAGATAACTTATCAAAGGAATAGCTGCTATCAGCTTTATTCTGTTACTTTGGCGTTGGGTGCTATCGAATCCTAATTTTACACTGTCAAGAATTTTCCTTTGATTATGGATAGTGATGAGAAGTAATAAGATACAGATAAATGATACGTTTTGTTAAATGCGTGAAGAATTGAGTACTATATTTAAAAAAAGGTTGTCTGGATTTACTTTGGTAATTTGGATATGCTGCTCTACTGACCCTTGTTCAACTCCAGAGTTCCCTCACGAGTTATGACAGATTTTTTTTTAGATTGCCCCCGAGGGGATTAGTTTATTGGGCACCCCCTTACATCCTGTGCAAGGTGAAGCGCCGAAGCGTTTACAGCGCCCATCTGGGAAGCATGCATAGTTCATGCTTGCCTTTATGATTCATGCATTAAGGGTGTAAAAGCCTGAATGGTCATGGGTTTTGTCAGCAAGTTACATAAAGTGACAAAATAATAAATCTGTAATGAAAAATTCCCGGTACAATTTATCTGTTTATGGCAAAGCGTGGCAGGTCTCTAGTGCCAGGCCTGTCACTAGCAGGAGGGATATCTGGTCAGGGAGGGAAGAGGCTGGGGACCTGTAGGAGCAGGTCGTAGGGCAAGTGAGGATGTAGTGAGAGAGGATGTGAGAGTCGGGTTGGCCACAGTTTACAAACAGTGCGGCCAGGCTCAGGTTTGCCGATGTACTAGGCATGGCGAAGTACAGTGAGGGTGGAGGTGATATGGTGTGGTGGGACAGGTACAGTAGGGGTGGAGGGAGGCACATAGGCATTGACAACATTGAGGGACATACCTTTTAGTGTGATTGTGATGACGTGTACGTCGGTATGCCAGTGGGGTACAGGTAGCCGGGGGTGGTGTCCTCAGGTCCAATAAGTAGCCCTGGTGGAGACAGCACAGACACAGTAGCGGGCGCGGCTTGCGGTGGGTAGACAGGTTGAGGCACCACGTGTCGTAAAGATGAGGCAGGACTTCGCTCGGGGGCAGCAGGACACACCAGGGCAGACCCGGTAGATGCTACGCCAGTAGTGATGGCCGACGAAGGTGGAGTAGGTCGTGAGCAGGGGGACTCGCAGGGGAACTACCAGCATGTGTCAAACCAGAAGAGAGGAGTGACTGGGTGGCAACAGAAGGCAAGAGTAGGGCTTAGATGGTGGTACAGAGTGTAATGAAGAGTTTTTCAATGTGGTTGGTAAATTCTTGGAAGAGGGACATGATCTGTGTCGTGTCACTGGAGGGTTATGTTCAAATAAAAAACCTTGACTAACGTGACCCCAGAACATATGAGGTCATCCTCCTAGTGAGTGAGAGGTGTTGCAGCTTAAATATAACAGTTGTCATTAGCTAAATAAACATCACATCATAGGACGTTTGTAGTGGGCGTGAACAGGTGAAAGATTCTTAACAAGATTCTTAATTAATCGTTTGGCCTCGTTGTCGTCATCTAAAGTGTCCGCTATCATCTCTAGATGACCTATGAACAAAACCAACTGCGTCGTGCTTTGTTTAGTCACTTGGTCTATGTGTCTGCCCTTTTGTTCCAAGCAAGTTGTCTCTCTCTTCAAATTCCTCAGCTCCTCTTCGTACGCGGCCTGGCGGGCGTTCATCTTTCGTGAGGCTCTCCTAGCGACCTTGTTCACATTCTTCAACCTTTCGTTCTTTGCCGTCTTTTCTTCCCTTTGCCTGTGGAAGAAATCATGTCATTATGTAGAGTGGCACACCTCACACCTTCATCTTCTAGAGCACTAGTTCAGGCAACACAACCTCCATGTGACTAAAAGAGAACCGTGAGGAGGAACTTATTGTACCGCGTTATCACATTACACCTAACATGTGATATCTTTCGTCCTTTTAGCATTCTACAAATATCTTTATTTAGGAAGTGACCTCAAAGCAGTGATGTAGAGAAGAACAACTGCAGCTTCATAATCGGTGCCTTTACTACCAAGGATTTCGTTAAGTTCAAGGACAATAAATAATTAACAACAGAAGCTGTACAGGTGCCAGTCAGTGTACAAAATCTCACTAAATAATGTTCACGATGGAAAATTCCAACATCAAAATATAAAGAGTACAAAAAATTCAACATTTGAATATTTTCCAGTCGTCATCATTCTCAAAACTAATAAATACATTTCCAGCGTTTAGTGATCATGAATCTGAGGTTAGCCACGTCCGTCCGTCCGACCGTCCAGCAGACCACTTTAACATATTATGAAGGTTTCATTGTTACTGTACTGTAATCGCCAATTAAGACGACTATGGGCTTGCAGGATAGTGAGACTCATTACTATGGACTCGAATAACATAATTCGGTCATAATCTGTCAAAACAAAGTACATATCAATGAATCAATTCCTTAACACATGATATAAAAATCTTAACATAATTATTGTAGACACAGTAATCATAGCAGAACACAGTAACAGAACCACATCTATCTATTCCTCAATTCTAGAATCAATAATGTTGTGTTGACTTATATTAAAGAATGTGTAATTATAAGATAAGTAATTCTCATATATATAAATTATTTAATACATTACAATCATCTTACGTGTTACGAGTCTAATGCCAGCAGAGGTTCTTAGCAGTTCACAGTATGTCTGTAAGAGGTAGTCTGACCGGGTAGTCTCAGTGTACCCCCTGCGTGGAGGGCCCCTCGCGATCTGCAGAATTACGCATTCAGCAAATACCAGGGTAGCTCAGGGTAAACGCCCTGATAGCTCGCTTCACTCCCGTCTCTTATATCTTCACTACCCCATAACTTAAGATTTCCCGTGGGTTGTAACATTCCCCCTGTTGATCGTGCGTGCTCAAGAAAACAATACAAGAGATCCTGGTGTACTACAAAATGGGCAGAATGTGTCTGTGCTGAAGCCAAAAGAACTGGTCGAACAGGCTCACCTTCCTGTCAAGCAAAAAACAAAATAAAATCAGCAATTCCATGTCTATACACCAGCATCAGGTGTGTTCGCTGTAAGTGAGGCTCCTTCCGGATAACCGAATTTTACAATAGGACGCACTACCACATTACGCGCAGTCTTCACCTTAACACAACATACAAGCCCATCATCATCAGGCCTCGTTTCAACAACCCTTTCCAAAGGCCATTAGTTCCTATGGGTATATTCTCCGGCTACGATGACCATGTCATTATTGAAAGTTGTGCTGGGGTTTGAGCTGTTTTTGTCGACTGCATAACAAAGGCAAGTATTCCTTCAATCAGCGTTTCCAGAGCTGGTCTGCTAAGAACTGGGCGTGCTTTGACCCTTTTCTATATGATGCCCCAATCTGCAGACCACCTAATGGGAGGCCATGTTTTGACCCCAACCGCAGGAGGTGAGTGGGTGCAAGTGCCTCCAGATTATTGACATCTTCTGATACAGGAGTAATAGGCCTCTCGTTCACCACTACTTCAACTTCACAAAAAAAAACGTCTGAAGGCACTCGTCGTCCAACACTTGTGATTCCACGATCGCTCGAAGAACCTTCCTTACCGTCCGTATCTGGCGTTCCCTCACGCAGCCCATGTGTGACGCGGTGGGGGATTGAACACCCAGTCTATCTGTTTCCTCAAGAAAGTATTTTGAAGATTCTCATCATACGCCCAACTTCGTGCTGCTGATCTTAGTTCCTTATCGGCACCGACCATATCCGTCCCATTATCCGATCGTAAGCGTTCCAGAGTACCTCGGCGGGCTGAGAATCTTTCAATGGCATTAAGGAAGGCGTCAGCGTCGAGCAATGCAAGGACCTCAAGATGTACGGCCCGGGTGGTCCTTGCTTAACGTTGAAAGGTCCAAAGCAGTCTGTCCCTTTATAAGCAAACGGAGGTTTAGGTGGAGTAACACGATCTGCCGGTATAATTCAGCTTGGCGTTGCTGTGTGGGCTTCCAGTTATTTCGGAGGCACACCACGCAGAGCCGGGTGATATTGTTTAGTAGCCTGCGACCTCTGGGAATCCAAAAAGTCTGTCTCAAACACGCCAGTGTGTGTTCCCTTCCCGAATGTCCAGCCTGGTTCTCAAGTACATCTCCTACTATAATTTCAGTGACGTGATGCTTATAAGGAAGCAAGATGGCATACTGACTCTCAAGGCTAATAGGTGCATTCTTCATTCGCCCACCTACTCTGATTAGTCCACCTTCGCTCAAACATGGCTCCAATTTGTAAATCCCACCTTGTTTACTCAGTCCACTCCCAGTAACCACATTTACTCATTTTATGTAGTCACAGAGAAAACGTACGTATACTAAAAATCACACACACACACACACTTGCTCCCACAACACCACCCCCCCCCCCTTTCCTTGTCTGGCAACTAAAATTTATTCGAAAATTTGGTGATGAATAAGAGAAAATTTAAACACTTACTAAATGAGATAATATTAACCACCTTGCAAATAAGAGAAAAACAGCTGATGAGCGAACGACGTGATTAGGTTATATCTGTTCAGCCATACGACATACACCTGCAAACTATAATTATGCACAGGTTACTTAGTCCACCAAGGATTTACAAGTCTTTTCTCCCCTGGTGTTTAAGTGGTCAAACATCGCTGTAACCTCGTTCGTCCAACAGCTACTCCCTCAAATCTCTCTAAATCTTACCTTGTCTTTCTGTCGCGAAACTTCTTGGCCGATTGCTTGTTTTGTAATCTTCTCCTCTTGACAGCCTCGTTCTCTGGGTTGTCCGGGTTGTTGTCCGAAGATGCAAGAACCTCATTCGGGCAAGCAGATTCGTCATCAGAGTCAGAAGACCCACAGTCACTGAATCGCTCGTTCTCTGGATAAACAATAGGAAACCTTAATGGCGTGATAGACTGAGGTGACGATTGAATTTGAGTTAATAATTAAGAAGCAATCAAACACATTGAGAGAGAAAGTGGGTTCAGTAGGCAGGGCGGGTAACATAGAGTACTCACTACTCAGCCCATATTACTGCACTTCACCATCTTCCTCGTCCCCATCTATCACAACTTCACAAGCCAACGACCCGTAGGACAGGAGGCGAATCCACCTCACCTTAACAAACATGTAACTCATTGATGAATAACGGTATATTTTAACACGCCACATAGTTAGCCATGTTAAATTGCAAGTTATAATAATACTCTAAACTTTGATTCAGCTGAGCGCCTCTGATAGTCCACCCGTCGTCTCTGTCCACACGTAAAACTTGCCCCTTCCACTCCTCGGTTGGGTCAGTATGGTGATAGTTCCACGAAGATGGCTCTAAAAGGCCTGACAGTAACTGAGAATGCATTTATCTATGTCCTTTAAATTACGCTGTACGCTTACCAGATTGCTAGTGTTCACCTCGGACTCGTATAAAGCAGTACTAAAACCGGATTGGGATTGGCAAAAGCAGTGAATACATTAAAGTGTTGCAAAAGCAATACCGTGGCCGTAAGGTGGGTAAAACTGCTCGTAATTAAATGTATCAGTCCACACGTTTAGTCCCTCTCATTCTGCCATTCTTCCTCCCAAGACAGTAGAGGGGGCTAGTTTATTGGGCACCCCCTTACATCCTGAGCAAAGTGAAGCGCAGAAACGTTTACAGGGCCCATCCGGGAAGCATGCTAAGTTCATGCTTGCCTTTATGACTCAGGTATTAAGGGCGTAAAAGCCTGAAGGGTCATAGGTTTTGTCAGCAAGTTACATAACAGAATGATGAGTGTGTGGGGGGAAAGTTCCCGGTACATTTCATCTGTTTATGGCAAAGCGTGGCAGGTCCCTAATAATGTCAAGTGCCAGGCCAGTCACTTGGAGGAGGGATATCTGGTCAGGGAGGGAAGAGGCTAGGGACCTGTAGGAGGAGGTCATAGGGCAAGTGAGGATGTAGTGAGAGAGGGTGTGAGAGTCGGGTTGGTCACAAAGTTTACAAGCAGTGCGGCCAGGCTCAGGGTTGCCAATGTACTCCCATAGGTACCTGTACCCTAGGCGCAGTCTCATGTACATAATCTGTTGAGATTGAGTCAGGGATTGATACTCTTTGTAGTGGCGGTTGTCGTCACCGGTTACAGCGTCATAGTGGCGTAGTGTGACGCTACCCTGTTGTTTCAGGTGTGTCCAATTTCCGTCGAATGCTTCTCGTTGTGTGGCGTGTATGAGAGATTTGAGATGATTCAGGGAGAGGGCGAGGGTGGCTTCAATATCTTCTTCTTGTGTCGCTTCTTTGGCAAGTCGATCAACAGTGTCACAGGCAGTTATTCCTATGTGTGACGGGATCCAAATAAACATGACACGGATGTCATCAGTGTGTTCTAGCCCGGCGACGGCGGCTAGGGTGTGTTGGGCGGCAGGGGAGGAGGGGGGGGAGGGTGATTTGAGCCTCGCTAGGGCAGAAGTGCTGTCACTGATTATAAGAAAGTTCCGCCGTTCAGTGCGGGCATAGGACGCCCCCTCATGAATGCCCGCGAGGATGGCTATGCTTTCAGTGTCAGTGGAGGAGGCCCAGTCGTGGACCCTGATTTTCCTGCCGGCCTGGCGCTCAGGAATCCACACAGCTGACCAAGACAGTAGTAGAGTCGCATTCAAAGCCGTGTACGAACGACCTAAACTAGTCTCTTTGTTTACCAATAAATGGCACTAACGTCTGTATGTACACTTTTTACCAATTCTTTATTTTGGGAGAGGCAGTTTTTGTTAATTACACATCAATTTCTTTTTTATTTATCGTTTGCACAATCTTACAGCTACGTATCTTAGTGTAAACTTATCAGCTGGTCCAACAGTTGCGTAATTGTGGGATTCCCCGGGTGGACGGCTGCTGTACTATTCCCACCAGACACCGCCGTTGACATAATTAATTACTGATTTGTTAAAAAAAGCTTTCGGCAATAATTTTTTTTATTATTATTAATAGAGGAATATAATTATATAACTCCACCCTTCAGTAGAACACGAGTGTAAAGGAAGAAACAACACAGTTGCACAGAATAACGACGCAGCTCGGTGTCAAAACGTATCGGGTTATCCACGTCTGCATACGTGCCGTGCACCCAAGGTCAATGTAGACCTGGTTATAAAATTAATGGTTAATTGTTGCTCAAGAACGTTTCACCACCACAACAATTGAGTTGTTTTATGGATGAATCTGTTAACAGTAGTTGGCATGATAAGAACAACACGGAAAGTTTGGATCTGATGAAACCAACCCTGAAGACAAACTAACTTTATACAGTCCTTTTTACTTCACTGCGTTCATATGAAAGCGTTGAAAAGCTAGAAAATATAAATAAATCACATAAGATGAGATGATGTTTGAGTAAGTTATTAGCCTAAGTAAATAAATAAAAAGATTCATATCAATTTCTGACTCCTGAATACTATTGCTGAAAGACAAGAGAAACGATTACCAGTAACCTCTATCCCTTGTTGAGTGTGTGTGGGTGTGTCCTGCTCAGGTCTGGACTTAGCACTCGCAGGCTACGTGTGATGTGACGCGTCTCAGTGCCATTTACCTTAAGATTTATTCATTAAATAAACCTAATATCATGTTGCCACCATGGGTAGTGTAGTATACTGTAGAGATGTAAACTGCCCTGTAGCCCCAAGCGATTTGATAGATTCTGTAGATACAGTTCTCTTATCTTGCTTTGTCTGTACCTCCTTTATTCTCTATGCTTTTGGGTTAAGTGTGCAGGGGAATCGAACACTCTATGTATAAAAAAAATAGGACTCTTGTGGGAATATGTTACACAGGGTTACAAGGAGAACAGGACGATTATGCTATTCACCATCCGCTGTTCAAGTCCCTTCCGAACCGTCAATCCGTAGCTTAAGTAATCCACACTCGGAAGTGACGTGTGCTGAGACTACGACGCCCTAGTTAGATGACATGATTTTTTGGGGTATGTGATTACGCCTGGTTGTCATTAGCAGTTGGAAGGAAGTCAAATCCTGACCTTACAGTAAGACACACCGTTATATACATACATATTAGTTAATACTCACTCATTTGTATAAGCTATAATATCGAGTGAACTTAGGTGTCACGTGGTGTAAAAACTCCACTTTAATTGAAATATGACAAAAGCATCGACTCGAACAACCAAGACTATGTAGGTGTTGTTCCTTATCTGTTTCATCTGGTACTTGAAAGTGTCGTCCTCAAGTCCCACATTTTACGAGTCAAGATCGGCTTCATAAACTAATTCAGAGGCCAAAATCGAGTAGGCTTGTATCATACTTAAATATCATCGTGTCTGGTATTACCCATAATCTTAACATACTAAAATATCATCTTTATTATTAACCATAACGTAAGAGCTGAAGGAAATGAGAAATGTGAAAGCACTGTCTACCTCACTCCCTGATATACCACTAACTCAAGATCTCTCTCTCTCTAGCTGCTTAACTCATCTTTTCTCTTCTGTGTCCTGTCATTCTAATAATATACACTGGAACTCTGAACTATGCATATCTGAATGTTTTGAGGGTAATTATACAAGCTCTGGGAATCTCTAAGATAGGAAATATAGTCACTAGATTATTAACTTTATGATTATTGGGATCTGGACAAAATACCCAAGGACTAAGGCCCCCTAGGACAATCCTACCCCAGTTAAAGTGCAAAGTAGGTTGTATTAGGTTAGGTTAGGTATTGCAGTCTCATGATATTTGTCCTAAGGAGCTTTTGTCCTTTTTTTCTGGGGAGCTTTTGTCCCAGGGGCCTTTGTCCTTGGGAGCTTTAGTCCGGGGGGTGGGGCTTTTGTCCTTGGGGGGGCCTTTAAAAGTCCTACATTCATGATTATTGTACAGGGAAAAAATCTTTGTTAAGTATTAGAAAGATTTATACAGTACGACCAAATGGTATGACGAGATTACAACAGATAATCATTATTCTGTACGTGAGAGAGAGAGAGAGAGAGAGAGAGAGAGAGAGAGAGAGAGAGAGAGAGGTGGTGTGAGTTGGAGATACGGAAAAGTTTTCTCGACGCCGCCTACTGGCTGTACTCTTGTGACTATATGAACTACCGTCAACAATGGACCTTACGATAAACATGAACATATAACTGATTACAGGAGGATGGTGTGACGTCATATTAAGAAATACGAGGAAATAAGCTAATTAAGTCATTCGTATCACCTGAAGATTAGTTTCTCTCCCCCCTTATTACACCTGTTGATCTAACCACCCTAACGCTACCTGAGGAGCAGGTTAGGTTAGGTTAGCGTGGTTAATCTTTAAGTGACCCTAATATCCCTCTCTCACAACAAGCAGTGTTAGTCTCATCTAAATTACTTTGAAGGAGGAATTTAACACTGTATTGTTGCGTAGTTATCAAACCAGTTTTTGTCGTGTATCTTGCATTCACTTACGTTTATCTGTAATGATTATATATAAAACCATATAAAATTATATCAAGAATATTCAGTTGACGTTATTTATTAAAAAAAAAAACATCTTTAGCAACCCGTCCTTCGAGACGCCAAAACGTTTTGCACCAGTGAGCCAGCCAATGAGCCAGCTACACTCATTGCCACGCCGCTTATTTTTACTTAACTCTAGGTATCTGATACTGATTCACCTGAACGTAACTGTATTATTAAGCAAATGACCAACAGTATTCATTCTTGCACGTAATAAATAAATGTACAGAATTACTTGGTTTTCCGTTGGTCACTCATTATCAGAACCTATCGTACCAGTTAGCCTTGAGCACAGCCACATTGCCATAAATGGTCCACTCGTTCGTCGGTATTGTTAAATATTTTGATCACATGATTAGCGAGGTGTTTTTCTAGGCCCTTCTTCTCTTTGCTTCGCTAAATTCATTAATAGACTCCTCAAGCACTTTATACCCCTGTGTGTACTGTGCTACTTACGATATACCTCGATATCGTGTACAGTGACAAGTTGCATTGCGGTGTGTTGTTTAGTGACACACCCCCTCCCAGGAGTGGTGGCTGCACAACTTCCTATTTGGATGCTTGACACATTTTCTCTGGTGTCCTTAATGTTATGTGTCTGTGCTGACATCTCTATTTCTACGGTTCTGAACTAATACACTTTAACTGTCACTGATCACAGAAGTTACATGATAATATTCACTGAGTAAAACCGCACTCTCTATTGGAACCCTACACAAGTGACAAGAGAGGTTCCCTTTGTGCCACTACACGGGTGCGCTAAATCAGCTTGTGTGTGTGTGTGCGTGTGTGTGTGTGTCAAGAGAAAGAGATCATAACAAGTGTGTGATGATCTCGACCCAAATGATGCGTAATAGTATAATAAAGTTCCGTAGCTGTCCAACCCACAACTGAACTTTCTTTTACTTTATGAATTCTATTGATAAATCACACTGGGAAAGGGAAACACTGGAGCACCTTAGCTTACGTCTTCATTCGAGACAACTTCAGAGGCAACTAAATTCACGGGGACTGAGAGAAGCTTATATACAATAGGTGACCTAATATAACATGGGGTCAGGTCAATATCATGGGACCCACTAATCCACACACCTCCACCACCGCAAATGAAAGAAAAACTTATAAAAAGTGGGTGACATAGCAACAGGTCAGGTCAGGTCAAATACATGAGACACACTAATCATCTACCCTACAAAGCATTTTAACCTTTGGCCACTGACAAATAAATCTATGTTGTATATTATCAGTTTTGTACTGACCAATGCTAAGGTTATAAAATTCCTTTCCCTAATTAGATTTGCCTCAACCAGAAGCCATTCTGGGACACATGTTGATTTAAACACATTTATACTGTTTTCCGAATCTATGGGATGATTATTGTTCCTTATATGAATGAACAGTGCACTGCTTTCAGATGCTGTTCTAATATTATACATGTGTTGCTTTATTCTAAGTTGCAATGCTTTCCCAGTCTGACCTACATAATTTCCATTAAATTTACATTCAAGGTTGTTCTATTACCTTCAGCGCTCACCTGCCCGGTATTGTAAGAAAATTATCTCCCACGTCACTTCACAACCAAAGATTTTATGAGACAGACAATGAAGGCATCAAAGACCTTGAATACATCAAAATATTTTCCAACTGCACATGTAATCACTACCTTAGTATTCCCAGCCGCTGAAAAAAAATTATTTGTTTATATTTAGAAAATAATATAAGTTCAATGTTCATAGATTTAAAAACGGTTTAGATTGATAGTCAAGTTTTCATAATTAATCAAATGACAGAAAGGGTCGAACATTTTACACAAGTTCGTCTAGGTTAATATCGAGGGTGATTATTGTTGACAGTCTCACGCTGGTGTTAGATTTTGTTTTAAGAACATAAGGACATAAGAAAATAAGGAGTCTGCAATAGGCCGGTTGGCCTGTGCATGGCAGCTCCTGTCGAGAGTTACTACCACTCTCTATCATCCATGAATCTATCCAGCCTCCCTTTGAAACTTTCCAGCGTTCCAGTACTTACTACAAAGTTGCTAAGCTTGTTCCACTCGTCACCACCCTATTTGTGAACCAGTTTCTTCCTATCTCCCTCCTAAACCTAAACTTATCCAACTTGAATCCGTTGTTCCGAGTCCTATCCTGCTCGGATATTATAAGAACTTTATCTATATCACCTTTATTGATTCCTTTCACCCACTTGAATACTTCTATCATATCTCCCCGCACTCTTCGTCTTTCTAGGGAATGCAAGTTTAGTTTCTTTAACCTATCCTGATATGGAAGGTTTCTAAGTCCCGGAATCATTTTCGTCATTCTTCGCTGCACCGACTCTAGTGAATTGATGGAGCTGCTTCGTGTAAACACTGAAGAAGCCGTAATATTGATAATGATAAAGACAAACGATAGAATGATAATGATGACATAACAAAAACCAACAAACAAAAACTGATAATCGTCTTTTTTTTTTTTATCTTAAATTTTAAAATTATTCATCGATTTTTTTTACAGTTTTTAATAGGAGATTTTGTATGTTTGAACGAAAGTAAAAGACACTTACTGTTTATTTTATCCCACAAAGAAATACACTGAAATGAAATACAAAAGTTGTCTAACGTTATCCTTATCTCCCTCATTATCTACCCATATCACACCTTTGTCTCCTATATCTCTTCTTCCTCTGTCCTCAGTTGACATATCCGCCATCTCTTCTCAGTCTTTATTTGACACACCTCAGCCCCCCATCCTGCTCTCTCTCTCTCTCTCTCTCTCTCTCTCTCTCTCTCTCAAGGACATCCCCATCATCCCTGTTTAATTCTTGTTGTCCCTTGTACCAACTCATGACATCAAGAGTGACTTCATAACTGTCTCATGTACCTGAACTTTTATTTTCAGAGTTATCATCTTGTAACCTAACCTAATCTAACAGGTTGTCACTCTTCTCCAATCTTCACTCTAATATGACTGCCAATAGCAACCATCTCTCACTTATATTGGTGTCTGTCTTGCTATAGTTTAATCTATCTAAGTATATCATATTCCTCTACCGATATAACCAGGTTGCCAAGTCATAAGGCAACGTTGATAATATTTTTTCCCAAAGTGGTGGATAATATTTTGTTCTTTTCTTTTTGCCTTGAAGCGTCAAATTTAGGGTGAGGGATCATACATGGTAGTTAGTTTTATATTTCACGTCTTAAATCAGTTTCTTGACTAGGACAAATAATATATGACTTAAGTGGAGATTTGGTTGAGTTGTAGCTAATCCTGTCACTAGGTGGTACCGCGTGTTCAGCTTAACTCCTTTGCAACGTGGACGCTATTTTTAATACTTGGTTAACGTCAGATGATTTTATTTAGCTCAGAGGATCCCTGTACACAAGGGGTTAGTAGACGATGGTGCTACTTGTGACGGTACTGTAACGTGTGACGATGCTGTAACTTGTGACGATGATGCTACTTGTGACGATGGTGTAACTTCTGACGGTACTGTGACTTGTGACGATTATACTACTTGTGACGGTGGTGTAACTTGTGACGGTACTGTGACTTGTGACGATTATGCTACTTGTGACGATGGTGTAACTTGTGACGATGGTGTAACTTGTGACTTTACGGCATTAATCGTGGACACGAGATGAATGAGGAAAAGTTTAGCTTATCATTTCGTCACCTACCACTGTCGGTTGGGTCTGACGATTACACCATGAGTGGGCGGGAAGTACCCGAGTTTCAAAAGAATACAAGGTCTGCTCACCACTAGAAGAGAATGAGACGTGTGTTGATTCTGGATACCCTGTAGGAGCTGAGTGTTCCTACAACTAACCGGCATAATTCCTGTATAGAATCGAGTATAAAACATGGTTAGCACGACACACAACGTACCAGAACTACTGACAAGGTGGTTTACTTAACACTATCCAAAGAGTGGTTGAAGGAGACATATAGTTTTTATTTCAACATGGTTTTACCTTTATACGAGAACCTATAATATACTCACATAAATCAATATTAATAATGTTCACATGTGTGTGTGTGCTGGGATTCCCGGCACACACAAGTGAAAATTGTTTACAGGGGTTTTGGCTGTTGTGACATCCAGATATAAAAAACAAAGTATTTAAAATTATTATTTTTTGGATTCATGATCATCATAACAGAGAAGTTTCCACCTTTCTACTTGGTGTTGTTGACTTTAAGTAATGTTGGAGTCAACACCCCTCCCTAAGTATCCAAAGACTGTCAAGTCTGCATATTGAATATTTCCAGTTAAAGGGGTACAGCTTGTCTGCCAGTGAAATATTCGTCTTACTACTGTAAGAGACGACCTTAGATGCCCAGCTGAACGATCTCTATGAAGACCACTCTCTCTTTCGATCAGTCAAGAGGACTTTTTGATATTAATAAAGATGGTTGTACAGTCCATCAACAGTCACAGTCCCTTCTCTGATGTCATGTATTTCACACCGAAGCTTATCTTCGATTTCCCAGAAGAGTTTGTGTAAGATCATTTTCTCTGAAGAAGAACGAATTTTATTAAAGTTGAACTTAATGATAGTTACTGTGGTTGTCCTCCACAAACGGTTGAAAGTTTTCCCGCCTCGTAAGAGGTTGAAGACCTGTTAAATGAGCAGCCATCAACTGTAGTGAGAACATTAAGGATGCCACATGTCATTCCATCAACACGATTTGTGATTCCCATCAAGTGACTCCATCGTCAGTTTCTTGTTTGTTTAATGTCGAGGTTGTCGTCAGGGTCTGGTCAGGATGCTGGGCGTGACGACATGTACTTCCACGGAGTGTGGGACAAAAACAACATAGGACAAAATTAATAATAATAAGATTTTTTTAAATCACTATTGTTATTCTTCATTATTTACAGTTGATGAACCCATTTTGCACTTTAATCGGGAGGCTTTTGTCCTAGTTTGCACTTTAACTGAGGGGAGTTTTGTCCAGGGGATTTTGTCCTAGGGGACTTTTGTACGAACCCCACTTTCACGCGTCCTTTTATCTTCTGTCGTATCCGGTAAGGCGAGGTTCGTGTATCAGGAGGGTCATTGCCTGCCTCGTGCAGTGACGAACGTGAATTGTCGGCAGGCAAGACACTGAATTCAACATAGTGTCCCTTCAGTGTGAGTGTTATGTCAGAATGTGTCAAGAGTTACTGCAGATTGCTTGTAAGAACTGCCCCCCTGTGCTCTCTGTGGTACCTATGACCACCCTTTTGTAGCGAGGCCGGGAACTCCACCATGGTATCTGTTTATTAGATAACTGTGCTCTTGTCTCATTTCCTATTGGCAGATCACGTTTAGCTCATCCCCTTGGCCATCCACCTTAGCATGCCAATCCTTGACTTCACTGATGCTGCAGGTTATTGTGCAAAGTAGTGTTCGTGATTGAATGTGAAGATTTCTTTATAGGAGTTTGGTATCCCTCTGAATCCCTATTTAAAGGTTCATGTAGCAAAACGAGAGGAATAGAGGGAGAGGGGAGGGAGGCAGTAACTCCTTAATTACAGACGATGAAGGCCTTCTTCAGCGCTGGAAAGAGCATTACCATTCGCTGCTCAATCGAAACATCGATGTGGATGTCCTGACTACCCAACAGGTCCCTCAGCATCTAGAACTGACCCACTTCAGCTATCCTCCATCCCTTGATGAGGTAACTACTGCCATCAAACAGATGAAAAATAACAAATCCTCAGGGCCTGATGGAATCCCAGCCGAGGTGTTTAAAGCAGGAGGACCTCTGCTTACCAGATGTCTCCACTCTCTCCTGGAGAATATATGGGAAAAGGACGAAATCCCCCAAGCTCTTAAAGACGCCTCCATCGTCAATATTTATATGAACAAGGCAGACCGGTTAGACTGTGGCAACTACCGCGGGATCAGCCTGCCCCTG